ATCCATCAGCCGGACAGGAAGTGGGGGCTCCTCCTGTCCATCAGCCTGACAGGAAGTGGGGGCTCCTCCTGTCCATCAGCCTGACAGGAAGTGGGGGCTCCTCCTGTCCATCGGCCTGACAGGAAGTGGGGGCTCCTTCATCCATCAGCCGGACAGGAAGTGGGGGCTCCTCCTGTCCATCAGCCTGACAGGAAGTGGGGGCTCCTCCTGTCCATCAGCCTGACAGGAAGTGGGGGCTCCTTCATCCATCAGCCGGACAGGAAGTGGGGGCTCCTCCTGTCCATCAGCCGGACAGGAAGTGGGGGCTCCTCCTGTCCATCAGCCTGACAGGAAGTGGGGGCTCCTCCTGTCCATCGGCCTGACAGGAATTGGGGGCTCCTCCTGTCCATCGGCCTGACAGGAAGTGGGCGCTCCTTCATCCATCAGCCTGACAGGAATTGAGGGCTCCTCCTGTCCATCGGCCTGAGAGGAATTGGGGGCTCCTCCTGTCCATCAGCCTGACAGGAAGTGGGGGCTCCTTCATCCATCAGCCTGACAGGAAGTGGGGGCTCCTCCTGTCCATCAGCCTGACAGGAAATGGGGGCTCCTTCTGTCCATCGGCCTGACAGGAAGTGGGGGCTCCTCCTGTCCATCAGCCTGACAGGAAGTGGGGGGGGTCCTCCTGTCCATCAGCTTGATAGGAAGTGGGGGCTCCTTCATCTATCAGCCTGATAGGAAGTGGGGGCTCTTTCTGTCTGTCAGCCTGACAGGAAGTGGGGGCTCTGCGGTTGTGAGCTGGAGGCCTCAGTTCCGCTTCCTCCAGAGCGGGTGACCGCAGCTGGGCAGAGCCGACGCAGCCCTCACGGCTGGTCCTGGGAAGTCCCTGCCACTATTGCCACTGGTGACTCAGGCTAGCCCTACTCCACCCAGAGGGGATCATCGGGCCCCCCTTGACTCAGAGGTGCCCAGCGGCTCTGGCACATGGGGGAGCCCCAGTGCTGGGCCCCCCTCCGCCTCTCAGGAGGAGCACGGGGGTTACAAACACCAGGCCTGAGAAGTGGCCAACTCATCTTCCAGACCAAGGGAAGCAGTGACCAACAGTCTGGCTGTGGCAGGCTGATACCCAGAGGGAGAGCTGGCTTATACTCTCCTGAAGTCCCTCCAAGATGCCCACCCGCCCACCTCTGATCCCCTGGTTACCTGTAGCCACCTGTGGGTTTGAGGCGGGAGTGGCCCACACACCTGGCCTACCTGCCACCTGCGTGTGACAGGACACCTGCAGGAGGAGACTGGGTGACATGCCAGCATCCAAGGGTGTGGGAGGTACGAGCTGGGCGCTGGAAGGCACTAAAATAGCCAGTGCTCATCAAGCTCTGGGCAGCAACTTCCAGCCCAGGGTGTCCCCAGGGGCCCCGAAGGCCATCCTTGAGAGTGAACAGCCCAGCCAGGCTGCTTCTGGCACTCAGCCACCATAAGGACCAGAGAAGAGCAGCCTGCACGTGACCCCCAGCTCCCGCCAGCCCAGGTCTATTAGCAGGAGGATGAAGCCAGCCTCCCCAGGAGCACCTCTTGATCCAGGGAGCCAAGGATGAATCCCGGAAGGCTTTAAGGAGGTGGCATTTGAGTGGAGCCTTGAAGGGTGGCAGCCAGGAGCAGGGCTGCTCTGCCAGGAATTCTCCTTCCAGCCTGGCTCCACCCATCTTATCTTCCTCTCAGGGGAGCTGGATCCCAGGGACCTTCCTGAGAAGGGCGCAGAGCCGCCTCTCTGCCCCACACTGCAGAGCTGTGTGTCACCCGTCTGGAATGCGCTTTCCATTCCTCCGCCTCCCCCTCCCCCTGTGCCGCCTCCCCTTGCCTTCTCCTCCGCTCCCTCTCTCCCCCGGCTCCCCCTTCCTCCCCCCTGTCTCCCCACCTCCCCTCCACATCCCCCGTCACCTGACCCAGCCACACCAGGGCCGCCACCTGGCCCAGAGACTGGGTCTGGGGATCTGCAGACCACCGCCCCACCCCAACCAGGTATGGGGCAGAGGGAGGGGCACCTTCCCAGTCAGCGGAGGGTTTCCCCACAGGCCTCCCTCCAGCCAAAGGGCAGAGTCAGCACCCTCTCTTAGCCTGGGCCCAGAGCAAGGCCGCTCACTCAGCTCAGCCAGCCAGGCAGAAGACCCCAGGGCCCCTGCACCTCCAGTCCTCTTTCTTCATGGGAGACCAGCTCCAGGAAGTGACTAACTGAGGGCTCTCCTGGGGTCCTCCCTGGGTGGGGGTGACTGTACCTCTGGGGGTCCTCATGGAGGAGGGGTGACTGTACCTGTGGGGGGTCCTCATGGAGGAGAGGCGATTACACCTGTGGGGGGTCCTCATGGAGGAGGGGTGATTGTACTTGTGGGGGGTCCTCCCTGGGTGGGGGTGACTGTACCTGTGGGGGGTCCTCATGGAGGAGAGGTGATTACAACTGTGGGAGGTCCTTATGGAGGAGAGGCGATTACACCTGTGGGGGGGGTCCTCATGGAGGATGGGTGACTACACCTTGTCAGGGGTCCTCCCTGGGGGAGCCAGGTCGGCAGGGAGGAGGGCTTGCGGGCCTGGGAGGTCATTGCCTGCTGCCCACTCCCACCCAGCCTCCCTGCTCAGCATGTGACCTGCATGGTGGCAAGGGGTTGCCCAAGGGGGCCGGGGTGGCTGTCCTAGGTGGAAGCCGGCCCAGAACAGGATCGTCAGTGACCAGGGACAGCACAGTTGTGGGGGTCACAGGTCCGGATCCCACCCCAGCCTCCTGGCAGGGAAGATCACACCTGGGAGGCTCCCCCCCGAGCCATGTGACTCCCCAAGGCCTCACCTGGCCCAACGGCTGGTCCCTAGGTCAGTGCCCACCATTAGGCAGCCGCCCTTACTTCCTGCTCAGAGCGGCTCCCTCACGTGGGGAGCTGGGGGGTTCAGGGCGGCAGACAGGGCCTTAGGGGCTTGGCACACGGGTTGCTGTGCTCAGATGGCCGTTCTGTGCCAACATTCTGCCCCCTTGAGACCAGACTCCCTGAGAGGAAGGACACTTCTGAGTGGCCCCTGGGCCAGTGGGGTGGAAGCCAGGCAGCGGGAGTGGGGAGTGGTCCACTCCAGAGACCCTCTCAACCCCGGCCAGGCCCTGGGGTGCTCACTAAAGGCTGAGATAGGGGGTCAGTGAGTGAGCGAAGCAGTGAAGGCACCAGCCTGCCCTCCCGGAGGCCTCCTGAGAGCTGGGTTCTGACGGGTCCACTGAGCCCCTCAGCCCTGGTCCGAGGGTGACCATGCCAGGACACAGAGGCAGATGCCTGAGGGTCCCAGAAGGGCCGGGGGCCCCAGCGCTAGGGCACTGACTCCCCGTCGGGGGTAATCAGACCACCCTCCTCGCTGGACCAGGAGTCCAGATCCAGGGTCCCCTGCCCTGGCACCTACAGCCTGGGTCACGGAGACAGTGCACGTCCAGGACCAGAGCCGGCGACCCGGCCCCTCCCAGCACTGCAGACTCTCGGTGTCCTCAGGATGGACCCCCTCACGACCTGAGTGTGACTGCCCGTGAAGGTTCTGCGTGGGATGGCGTCCACACCAACGGGCGGGGCATCCCCTTCTGGAAGGCTGCTGGCTGCACGGTTCCATCCTGGGCTCTGAGTCCCTGGAGCTCCCTCTGCACCCTCAGCCACTAGGACATCATGCAGGAGGCCCCCTGCAGAGGCCACAGAAGCCTGAAACCCACCCCCACTTCCACCAGTGGTCCTGGACTCACGCCCACCTGGAAAGCCCGAGACCCCCTACTTTGGGGGCAGGGATCCAGGGAGTGGGAGGAGCTGGGATTCCCCAGCCTGGGGGTCCAGGACCTGGGGGACTGCAGTAGGTGCAGGGGGCAGGTCTGCAGGCTCCCTGGGGTGGGACTCTAGGGAGGGAAGCGGGAGCCAGGAGACAGCGGGAAGCCAGTGACCGATGAGCACGGGGTCTGGACCTTGGGTGGGCGCAGAGGGGAGAGAAGGGAGGCAGAGGCAGCCAGTCTGGGACCAGCACATGTTGGGGCAGCGAGCAGAGAGGGCTGGGCTTCTCCGCAGTGAGAGAGGACATGACCTCTAGAAAACCCCTCTCCAGCTCAGAAGGGGTGGCCAGACTCTGGCCACCGCTCCTCTGGCCCCACCTCCAACCAGCCCTCAGGCCAAGTCTCTTGGCCCAGGGCATCCCCAACCCAGACCCCAGGGAGCGGCCACGGCCTTGGGTGGGGGTGGGGGGACCAGGCTCTGCCCCCGCCTGCAGTGACCCCTCCAGGCAGGTGCTACAGAAGACTGGCACTCGGGTAGGAATCCATGGACACTGCCTAATTGGAACATTTACCCTGGGATTATCTAAATTCATGAAGTTTTCCTGTCACAGTTTATTTAGTCTACAGAAAAAATGAAGCAGGAGTTCCTAGGATTTCCCATGTACACTCAGGGGGTTTTCCTTCTGAAGCATGAAAAATCAGCTGGAGTGTGTTTGGAAACGATGATAATCTTACCAAAAGCAAAATAACAAGTTTTTTTCTGACTGGGGCCGCTTGGAGGAGTTGCAGGGGACAGGGGGCCTCCAATCTGGGCTCTGGCCTCCCCACCCAACCTCTGCCTCTGGGTCTCAGTATTGCTACCCCATCTAAGGTTCCCAGGGCTCCCTAGTGAGCAGTCCAATTCATTCTGCTCTTTGCAAGGGCTTTGTGCAGGCTTAGTTAATCACACATTCATTCAACAGACGTTTGTGTGCCTGCTGTGTGTCTGGGGCTGGGGGACAGCGTGGAACAGAGCCCACGGGGAGACACACCTCCTGGAGGAGCTGGCCTGGACTGGAAGGGACCCCAGTCGGTAGGACGCAGAGACAAGGGTCAGCATCACATGCTCGACCAATGCCCACCAAAGCCTGTTTGGGTGGGGATCGAGTTCTGGAAACTGGGAGATGGCAGTGATTTCACAACAAGGCTGACAGGTCTCTAATAACTCTCTCGTGGGGTGGTGGGGTCTGCATCCCCTCCCTGAGCTCAGATGGGCTGGTGGAGGTGATCCTGGGCGACTTGGGATGCCAGGTCCCAGGAGGGAGTGGCCCGCTCCTGCCTGGTTGGAAGAGCTGCTCCCGGAGGCTTCAGGGCCCTGGAGAGGGTCTTACTGCTGAGGCCAGCCCGCGGCATGGAAACCCAGCCACTTGGCGGGACCTCGGGCTCCAGGGAACGCGGCATGTCAGCGCCGAGCCACCTCCAGCGCCTAGTGCTTGCAGCCAGAGCCCGGCTCTGGGGAGACGGGAGGAGCCCACCTCCCCACCAGCAGGGGCCGGAGCGGTCACTCAAGCTCACAGCAACTGCAGACTGGGCCAAGGGCAAGCCGCCTGTGCTGGAGAAGACATGCTCGTTGCCTGCACAAAACTGAAGCCCAGCCCCAGAAGCCAGAAGACACACCACCTGCTGGCTCATCAGGGAGGCGGCACTGCAGCTGCTCGAGGGCAGACAGGGCGCGGTGAGGGGGTGGGGGAGGCGCCTCCGGCCAAGCGTGGCCAAGAAGCGGCCCAGGTGGAGCCCGAGGGCCCCAAGGCGGGACTCGAGCCCCACACATCCGGGCACAGCTGGGGCCTGGCCATCATCAAGAATGTGGGTGACACGGTGAGATGTCCTACGTCACAGCAGCTCCAAATCTGACCCCGTGCTGAGGCCTTCACACACACGATCCCGTCTCTCGGACACAGCTAATCCCGGGAAGTGCCTATCGCCAGTCCCACGTTGCAGACGAGACGACCGAGCCCCGGGAGCTGAAGGAACTGCCTGATGCCGCAGAGCTCCCATGAAGCAGAACCAGTGCCTCGAGCGCCAGCCCGAGTGTCACACTGTGGGTGCAGGTCTGGGAGCGCCTGGCTCAGTGTCCAGTGCGCTCCTGAAACACACCAGCCTGATTTATTATTCCAGCTGCCAAAGAAAGGCATGTTTGGCCAGTGAGGTTGGTGAGGGAGTTCCAGCCTGCACTGGAAGGGAGGTCTCCAGCGAAACGCCATGAGGTTGTGTCCTCGAGGCAGACCTGATACCAAGCTGGAGTGGGCCCTGCTGGGAGCAGCAGAATGACCTAACGGCCTTCCACATGGCTGAATTCAAGTCCCACACGTGGGCTTAAAAATGCACTGTGCGCATTCGTTAGTCAGCATCCATGAAAAGGTCTGAGGCCCTTGGTGGCCCCCACGCACACCACGGGTCTTGGGTCTCCAGGCCCAGGTTAAGGCACTAAGAAGGCCCTCCTGCCAGTGGAGTCCAGTTTGAACAGACCAGATGACCGCTGGAAGAGGGGAGCTGCTTGGCACAGCAAGAGGTGGGGCTGCAGCAGAGTCGTGAGTCATCGGCTTCCCAGATCGGTCACAACCCAGGAGAGAGAGGTCCAGAGGGGAGCGAGAGGTCGCTGCGGTTGGTGGCATCGGGAGTCTTCCTGGCAGGACGTGGGATGTCTTCCCGCACTTGGACGGGAAAAGGCAGGCCCCAGGGGCCCTTCTGGGTCTGAGTCCCGCTGGCCTGTAGGACCCCCTAGTCACCCAGACGGGCTGGCCCCTGCAGAAGGCTGCTCCCAGGGGCGACCCCTTCCCCAGGCCCCGAGCAGTGGAGGTGGGTACCAGGCTCTCCCCTGCCTGGCAGCGGTGGGCTGGGAGGGAAGTACCCGACCCCAAAGTTAGTCATCACCCGCCTGGCTGATTCAGCCTCGGAGCAGGGTGAGGCCAGGCCTGGCCACAGCACTGCCATCACTGCAGGCCCAGCTCAGTCAGCAGGGTGTGTGGGCTGGACCTGCACACAGAGGGCCTGCAGGGCCCCTCTTGACAGCGGGGGCCACGTTTCTTGGCACTTTGGGGGCAACTACCGCTCTCTGACAGACAGGGAGGTCAGGACAGTGCATAGTCCTGAGACCTGATGAGTAGAGCGGGACAGGGAGGCCCGGCAACCCTCGGTGCTGGGACCCAACAGCCTCCTGTGCTCAGGTCCTCCTGCTAGAATTCCCAGCTCTGCAGGAGACAGGCTGCCACGCACCACCGGGATCGCTGGGCACACGACACGCTGATGCCAAGTGGATGGGTGAGCCTGCTGTCCTCCCGGCCAGGGCAGCCCCCCAGGCCACCCCACCCACGCCAGCCCTAGCCCCAGCTGAGCCCAGGTCAGGGAGGGGCTTTGGGACCACTGTGTCTTCCAGAAACATCAGGAGTGCATTCCTAGGGGGTTTGGGGGTGGGGCCCAGAGACGTCAAGGGACTGATCCAAGGCCACACAGTGAGCGGCAGAGCTCTTGCTCTGTGGGGCCAGGGGCCAGGGCCAGGCAGGGAGGGGTTCTGGGAAGGGTGCGGGCTTGCTGAGGCCTGGGTGCCCCCTCCGCAGCCTCTCTTGTCCTGGTAACGCCACCAGGGAAGGGAAGCCTGAGGGTCGCCCTGGCCACTCAGTCCCAGGTCCTCCAATAGCACAGATCAGACTCACCCCCAGCCCCAAGCTCTCCAGCGGCCCCTCCCAGTCTCCTGGGGGAGCAGACCCCTTCCCACATGCTGCCCACCCTGCCCTCCCCACGCCCTCGGGCTGTCCTCCCAGCCCGAGGCTCTTTCCCTCCTTAGAGGAGTGGGGGCCCTGCACCCGGCCGCCCCCATGGTGACGCCTCGTGAGGCTCCAGGGCAAGGCCGCGAGGCCCTCCGGCCCCCACCTGATCCCTGTGTCCTGGGGGTTTGTCGAGGTGTTGTGTACCTGGCCTCATACACTGGGTCACCCCTGGGGGTCGGCATTTCCTCTCAGCTCCATTCCCTGAAGACCCACCCAGGCAGTCACTAAATCCACTGGCTGCTCCTGGTACCCGAGTCGCTGCACGGTGCAGGGGCCCCGTGCTCAGCCACCCGCCCGTGAGCAGGTCCAGGGATCTCCAGCTCTGAGGATGGGGCCTCGTGAGGCTCCGTGTGGGTGCCCGGCTGAGCAGGGCCGCGTTTCTCCAGGCTAAGTGCCTCAGCAGTCCTGGCTGCAACCTGCGGAGCTCTGCTTGCTTTAGGTTTGTTGGGGTTTTATGTGATTTTGTAGCTTGCCTTTTTTAAAAGTGATTAATTTATTTTGGGCAGTGCTGGGTCTTCATTGCCACATGGATTCCTCTAGTCGTGGTGAGCGCGGGCTTCTCACTGTGGGGGGCTTCTCTTGCTGCAGAGCGAGGCTCTGGGCACTCGGGCCCCAGTAGCTGTGGTGCACAGGCTTTGCTGCTCCGAGGCACGTGGGATCTTACCAGACCAGGGATCAAACCCACGTCCCCTGCACTGGCGAGCGAATTCCTGTCCCCTGCACCACCAGGGAGGTCCGAGCTCCGTGTCGTTTTCTCATGGAAACCAAGCCGCGTGTGAGCGGCCCGGCCCCCGCCTGCTCGCCAGCTCGGGCTGTGGTCATGCTTCTCATGAAGCCCCTCCTCCTCTGCTGTGTGCGTGTCCTCCCCGGGCGTGTTCGCTGCTGCGCTTCATCGACCCGGTGCGGGCCCGCAGGGGGACCGGCAGCACACTGTCCCCTCCACCTCCTCTCGGGTCTTCCTCCGGCAGTGTTCTCGACGGTCAGGACTTCCAGCTGGTCCAGCTCCCCTTTCGGGACTTGTGTGGAACAGGCTGCCTGGCTCACGAGCCCCAGGATGTCTCCTTTCTCTTCTTCTTTCTCCTGCAAGTTTTATGGTTTTATGTTTATGTATGAATTGGTGAGCCATTCTGAGTTCATTTTTGTAGAAAGTATGATACTCCAAACTAAGGCTCTTATTTTTTGGCCTGTAGAAGCCAGAGCCTGGGTTTCCCCAACCTCCCCTCCGATGACACCTACTTTATCCACTTCTACTCATTGTTCAAGCATTTGCTGCTGCCCACTGGGTGCCCAGTGCCGTGGGGTCCTGGGGCCCGCAGGCGAGTGTGTGAGACCCCCAGCTGCCCCCCGGAACCCACTGTCCAGCCTCTGCTGGCCATGCCCTGACCCTCGCCGATGCCGCCTTGGGACAGAGTGGGGGTGTCCACGTCAGGCCCCAGAGCGGCCAAGGGGAGCGAGCCACCGGGGGCCATCTCCACGGACCGCGTCCTGCTGGCCCCTTCTGCCCCGCGCCCCTGGCACCACCCCGGGGAATGCGACGGGGCAGGAACAATCGCCCAGCTTGTAGTCTCAGGCAGACACAAGCCCGCTTTCACAAGCCCACAGCCCCGGGTCTGTGCCGCCTGGCGCCAGAGGGAGCAGGCCCAGTGCCCAGCTGGGGAAGATGCTGCTCCGGCCACGCCCCCAGTGGGTGGCCCGCAGAGGCTTCCTGCAGCCGCCAGCCTGGGTGCCCGCGCCCAGCCGGGCAGTCCACACCCCTCCACACCCCAGTCCAGGGAGACCCTGGGCCTCAGGAGCACGCCCCAAGGCTGGGGAGGAACCTGCCCTCGTGGTGGCGGAGCTCCAGTCCAGCCCCAGCGGAGCCTCGTATGAGCGTCCTGCGGCTGCCGTCCTGCGGCTTCTGTAACAAAATGCCCCAAACTCAGCAGCTCAACCTCTACTTAACCCGAGAACCTGGAGGTCGAGGCCTTCCTCCTGGAGGCGCTGGGCAGGGTCCACGTCCTCCTCTCCCAACTCCTGGAGGTGCCGCACTCTGCGGCCCATCCTCATCCTGAGCAGTGGCTTGTCCCTCCCCCACTCCCTCCTGCCCCGTCCTCTCTCTGACCTGGGGCCCCCACCTCCCTCCCGGAGGGTCCTTCGTGATAACATCGGGCCCCCCAGGCACAGGCAGCTTAGAACTGAAGGACACAACAGAACCCCGCTTGTTTTACACACGTGACTCACGTGTTATCGTGTGCGGCGCTTTGCTGTGTGCGGTGGTTTTGATTACCCAGTAGACGTTCTTCAAAGGAAACTGAAGGGTGTGCGCGTTGGCCTCCTCACTCCTGCTGCAGAGAAGCCCGTGGCCTCTGCCCTCCCTGTGTCCTGGACAGCGCGGCCCCAGCCCTCAGGAGGAGTGGGGGTCTTAGGTGGCTGCTCTCTGTCCTTGGAAAGCACGTGGGGTTAGTGGGACCCCAGAGCAGGACAGCCCCCCAGGCCCGGGGTCCGGGAGAGCTTCCGAGAGCATGTAGAGTAGGACCCGGGCTGGCCCTCGGCGAACAGGGCCGTCTCCGCGCCTTGCACAGCGGGCCGCCTGCCCACTGGACAGACAGGGCTCATGACAGCTCCCTGCAGGGCTTGTTGAGCCAAAGCTTCCATCCTGGCTCCAGGGACTGCCACTCACAGCCCTCGAGACAAGGCCCAGGGCAGATGCACGCCGTCCTCAACCCAGAAGCTGCTGCCTAGTCCAGCAGCAACAACTCTCTGTGGGTCAAGACCATTCCCCGGCTCAGACTTCACCCTGGAGCCATGCCCAGCTCTCCCAGGGAGCCTGTCTGGGCGGCCCTGGGCAGTGGGCGCTTCGCACACTCATAGCAGGAGCCTGAAAGCTGGCCCGAGGGCTCTCTGGGAATGGCACAGCCGACATGCACCCCCGTGTGGTGGCGGGGTGGACGGTGGTCTCAAGCCAGCCGTCCTAAGGGAGGTGCAGGCCCGCTGCTCCCCAAAGTCTGGACGGGAGGGTCGGATGGCATGTGCTCCCCAGCGTCACCCCCTTCCCAAGCCACTGCTCAGAAACTTGCCCCCAGGCCGTCAGAACGTGGTCCCCTGGGGTGGGCCCGGGGCCTGCTTCCTGCCCCATGGCTTCACACCCTGAAAGCTGCCAGCACCCCCACCCGCTGGGGGCCGCAGCCAGTTCATCAGCTATGATTGTGACAGACGGCTGAAAGCCCCAGGGGCCATCGCCATCAGTGGGTGAATGGAGACGAAATGTGGTCCACGCTCACACGGGATGTGATTCAGCCTTAAGAAGGAAGGAAATGCTGGCCCGGCTGCATCATGCATGAACCTTGAGGACATAGCCATGAAATGAGCCAGACACGGAAGGACAGACACTGTCTGACCCCAGTTCTGAGATCCCGGGAGGAGTCGGGGCCAAGGAGACAGAGAGTAGGGGGAGGGGCCGGGGGCTGGGCTTGGGGGAGGGCAGCCAGCATCCATGGGCACAGGGTCTCCATCTGGGAAGTTGAGAAAGTTCTGGAGACGGGCAGTGGCTGAGCAATGGTGTGAATGCACTTAATGCCCCTGAACTTACAAATGGTTAAGACGCTAAGTTTTATGACTATTTTACCACAATAGAGACAGGCAAAAGGAAGAAAATCTTCTCTAAAAATTTTAGACCAAAACCCGGAGTCAGGAAGATGTACTTCATTGCACATTTAATAGCACATGCAGCATTCAGAACATCGTGATAAACAGGGTGGGGTTCACACATCACAGAAACACTGAGGCAAAGCAGAGGTCCCCTCAGACCAGGACGCATGGGCAGGAGACAATCGGGGTAACCGCGCTGTTTCATTGGTACTTCAGGTCACTGGGAGTCCGATGGGCACAGGCCCTGGCCGCTCCAGCTCGCAGGCCTGGCGGCACTTCCAGGGGCAATTGATGGATGACATAGGTGTGTGGGCCGCAGGCTGGCCTGACTCACACTCCTACTCGGGGAGAGGCCCAGATACCCGCCTTCCAGGGCGACGCTCCAGGTAACGGAGGCCTGTCTGCGGGAGGGTGACTCACAACTGCATCCAGAGTGTGCTCAGAAGGTCCCTGCACTCCCTCCAGTCTCTGAGAGGCTGCTTTGTGGAGCAGTGGGGGCAGCAGGGCTCCTCCCGACCCGGGGGGCAGGGCTCCCGGGAAGCCCCAGACTCAAACAGCGGGTTCTTCCCTGCTGGGCGTCCCGGCCCAGCAAGGTGGCCCCCGCCCTGACGTTCAGGCAAACTGGCCCATGTGCCGGGCTTTCCAGGAAAGGGGAAGGTCACCGCCCCCAACTCCACCCTGAGGCCGAGCCTGGCTGAAGCCACCAGAGCATCCCCAACCCCGGCATCTTGGGGGGCCCGGGGGAGGCGCACGTCTGAGGGAGGGGCCTGAGCTTTGCAGCCTCAGCTTCCAGCTCCAAGAACAGGGACGACATCGCCCCAGACCAGCCGCAGCCCAGAGGCCTCACATCCCCAGGCCTGGGCCGGGTCTGGGGAGCTGCCTGCACCCCAGGAGATGGGGGAGAGGGTGGGCTCCCTGAGAGGGGCCGCGAGGGGGGACGGGGCAGGGAGGCGGGGAGAGGGCTGCCTTCTGGGAGGCACCGCGTTTATTCCCGGAGGGCAGCAGGGCGCTCAGACGGTGAGCGAGATGAAGCTGTTGTAGCGCTGGATGTTCCTCTTGAGGATCTCGGAGCAGGGCCCCAGCACGCGCTCGAAGCGGGGCCGGTCCAGCTTCACGCACTTGAGGGGCCCCCGCGCCACCACCGTGGCCGCCCGGGGCCGATTCAGCAGCAGTGCGATCTCCCCTGGGGGCGAGGGGCGTCAGGGCTGCGGGCATCAGGGTACCCTCCCCGGGGGGACGGCGCCCAGGACGGGCATCCAGGCGCCCAGGCCTCCCGGGACTCCTGCGCCCCCGTGGAGCCCAACCCAGGCCCGCCTGGGGCCCTGCAAGCCGGCCACCCCTCCGAGGACAGAGCCCTGCACTCACCGAAGTAGTCGGAGGGCCCGAGGCGCCCTACCTCCACGTACTCCTCGTTGGGGGACCGGCGCTGCAGGACCGAAGCCGTGCCCTGCGGAGGCCAAGGGCGCATGTGAGGGTCGGCCAGCGGGGGTCCAGCGGGCCAGGGTGGGGGTTCCTGGGTTCACCGGTGAGGGCACTGTCTGCACCCTCTCCTGCCAGTTCCATGCGCCCCTGCCTGGAGTCAGGTGTGGGCTCCGGGAGCCGTGCTCGGTGCAGGGCACCCCCTGGATACCCCCTGGGCCAGGCGCTGGCAGAATCTGGAGCCACCTCTTGGGCAGCGCTCCTCCAAGCCTACCTTGGCCTACATGTCAAGGACAGGAGCAGTGTGGCTGGGGGTTGCTCTTCCCCCGCTAAGTGATGGGGTGCCTGCAGACCCCAGGGCTCAGTGATGAACAAGACCACAGTCCACACCTGAGACACAGCTTTGGCAGCCGCAAGCCAGCCCCAGGGGCTTCCAAACATAGAGCCCCTGGCCTGGCGCCTGGGATCGGGGGCTGGAACCTCATCCAAACTGGGATCTTTCCCACGCACCTGAGGAGTCAGCGCAAAGCCTCCCCAGCTGCCCCGCAGGCCCACACAGCCTCCAGCGGCTCTGAGCCTCCCAGACAGGCACAGCGCCCGCTGTATCACCCTGGCCCCCAGCGGGGCACATCCACATCATGGCTGAGCAGCCGGGGCCCCAGGACAGGGTTCCTGCATCACCGGGGTCCTCTCGCGCCCGCTGGGCCCTCAGCTATCCACTGCTCACGCGTGCCCCCAGCCTGGACAGCTGGTGCCAACACCCCAGCCATACAGACGAGCACAGTCTGTCTCCCTGCGGACTCAGCTCACCAAGACCCAGATCATGAGCGCCGGCTGGGCCACACCCGGGTTAACAGTAAACCCCTCTGCCTGGGCAGCGAGAGACACAGTCAGAAGACCCTGCCTGTGCCCACTGGGCCTGGGACCTCTGCCCCTGGGCAGTCCCATGCTGGCACCCTCCAGCCACGGGGCCACTCGGCTCCCAGGCATCTGGGGTGCTTACGACGCCACTGGACATACAGAGGGGCCTGGAAGCAGCAGACGTCTCCACCCACCCAGGAGTGCTCCCTGGGCCAGACGCCCACAGACCCGGGCCGAGGGGCGGGGCCTGCAGGACAGATGGTCTCGCGCTGACGTCACGGAGAGGCGAGAGCCCTTCTCCCCTGGAGAGGAGGGCAGTCAGTGCCCGGCTGATGGCACCACGAGGACCGCAGCGACTCTCTGGAGACGATGCCACATTTACCTAATTATCATTTGCACTCATGCCTTTTCACTTATACAACTTACATTCCCATTTTAGACAAGTTTCCACTTTACAGCTGGATCATTTTCGTCAGGACCCCAGTGATGGAAGTGAAGTTTTCTGGTTTACTCAAGGCTTAGTGCACCTGAGAGACTTCAAGCTCCAAACAGCAGAAAACCCGACTCAAGGTGTCTGAAGGCTACTAAGGGTAACTGCTATCCCCAAAACCAGAAGATGCAGGAGGGCTTCAGGGCTGGCCAACTCAGAGGCCCACAGACGTGTGTGAACCTAGGCTTGTCCTTGCCTCCTGTTTGGTGGTCTCGGTCGGATCTTCATGGTGGGACCGTGGCTACTACGGTTCCGGGAGTTGCCAAATGCCTCCCCAATGCCATCCACAGGAAAACCTTCTGGAAGGTCCGGGCACCATCCCCTCACACCTCACCGGCCAGAGCAGGTCACAAGCTCACCTGCAGCCAATGTGATTGGCTCCCCTCCCCAAGTTCTGCCCTGCCCACTCGGGACAGGGTTGAGGCCTGGGGCACAGAAAACAGGGACGGGCTCGGCTTGGCCACCGTTCTGC